TCCTGAGAGAGGAAGCTTTTAAAATAAGAGAAAATACCTGAAAACCTCTTTGGTGCATCTAATATATTTTCAGACTTCAGAGTTAGAAGCCACCTTGAAGCCCTACTCCCATCTCTGGTTTTATTCAGGATCTACCTCCTTAGACAACTATTATTTTCCCTGGGGATTCTTTCTTATCGCTGGTGTTTTCCTCTCCAGAAAGGTCTTGAATTTTACTTACTGGTTTGTGTCATTTGATTTATAAGCTCAAGGTGTCCTTCACAAAACCTGCACTACTTAATTGCTATAATAAACCAAAAACTTGGTGCTTTAGGATAAGCAATCTGGGAGGAAATTGTTTGATGTATGGAAGTAGACGGTAGGTCCTTGTTGTGAATGTCACGAAAGGGATGCAGAGGAGAACTGGCTTTATAAATAACTATAAAATTCAGAGGCTACGTGAGCTCAGGGAGAGCAGAGCTCTACTAAGCATGAGCAGCTTGCAGTACAATACCAAACATCTGCAAAAGTCCTTGCAGCCAGTATAATTCCCAACAGCCTCAATTGCTGCATCCAGGAGGACATTGGCTTTAACTCCACAGGGGTCGGTAGGCTGCAATTTGCACAGACACAGCTAAGTGCAGAAAGAGGTGCCCAGAGCTTTCATCCTAAAGTGAAAATCAACAGGTGAAAGGTGTTTAACAAGTCTCAAGCTTTTACTCACATTGCAAGGAAGGTGGGTTTTTCTTTCCCTTTTCAAAATTAGTCTATAAAAAATAACTCTTTCTCTTTTGAAAGCTGTTTTTTCACAGCATTGGCAGAGCACAGAAGCTGCTGAGCCAGAGTGGATGCAGAAGGCCCGCAAGGTGGGACCCGCCAGCCGTAGCAGCAAGGCAATGCTCTGCCATGGCGCCAGTGCCTCCAAGAGACTCAGTGATAAGGAAAATTGTGCAACACGTGCAGTGTGTAAAGGCTGAGGAATGAGGTACCACTTGGGGCACTGCAAAGTACGGCTCCAGCCACTGAGTGTTTGTAGCACAGCACCAGGAGGAGTCATGCAGAACAACCCCCTGCCCCCAGTACCCTAAATATATCCAGGGGCCAGTAGAGACATCGCGGCACCAGCAATCTTAAAATGATGCCGTCAGATGCTGTAGCTCTTATTTAGCTTTCTGAGCCATGTTTTTAGAGAGTCACTACGTATTTTTTTGTATTCCAGGAGACAGACAGACACCCAAAACTAAGAAGAAAGGACACGTAAATATTGCGGAGTCATCTGTTTCCAATAGCGTGTGTTTACATATTAATGTGCAATACAAATTTGTAAACATGAGCATTTGAAACTTTTGTAGGAACCGATACTGGCCTTTTCCCTTTCTGCAGCTTTATTGGAACAGCATGTCCCCCCTGGCCCCAGCCACACATGTACATCGTTTTAATACTGGATGTGTTTCAAATGTTCTGGGTGCTTATTTGTTCTGGTCTATCTTGCTATCCAATCCTCGTTTGTTTTGCATAATTGTGATACAAATTATCATCTAATTACAGACCAAACCTCAGCAGATCAAATGTAAATCAAGGCACTTCTATTGGAAAAAGCTATATCCGATGCTCCCTCTACACATTTGGCTTCCCCAATAGATGTATTAAATTTGGGTGAAACTGGATACTAAACTTCACTGTAATTAAAAACATTATCGCTGGGTTTTTGTCTCCTTGGTTTTTAAATGAACCTCCTGATATTTGAGCACTGAGCCCATCCAATGTCCCGGTGTTGAGCGCAGATGCGGCGCCCTTGGTACATCCAGTTTTACTTGCAGAGTGCTATAAATGGAATGAGATATTCCCGAGCAATTTCAAACTCCTCTTGAGAAAAGCCAAATGACTAATAGCTAAGATTGTTCAGCAAGTTTAATCTTCTAAAAAAAACTTCAGTTGTTTTCTCCCTGTTCCCGTTGAAAAATAGCACCATAATACTGGATTTAGTTTTGTATTAACCCACTAAGTCTGAAGAACTGTGAACTCTTGCAGTTGCCACAAGTTTTCAGATAATGTTAATGAGAGGAAGAACAAAGCAACACATAAGGTATTTGTATTTACATGTGCATGGTCCCGCTTGAAATACTGACCTCAGTTCCCCCAGTTTCACATTTAATATCCAACGACTTATACTGACTGAGTCTCTTGAGTTCTGCTACTCACCTCTCACCAGCAGACGTTTTACAAAGCACCTCTGGAAAGCAGAGTGTGGGTTATCCATTACTTTGGACACAGTTTTTCTCATATAAGCAGAACCATCTATGTTACAGTGTGAGCGAGTCAGCTGAATTACTGTTGTAGGTATAGAAAATATTTGATGCTGGTATGGTCAGGGAGCCTTGGCTAGGTCTGAGGGGGCCACAGGGGCATCAGGACAGAGCTATGACTGCCTGAAAATATCACCAACATTATTTTCATTTGTTACTGTGATTTTTGAAAGGATAACATCAGGAGATAAAGGCAAAGGAAATAGAAACTAACCTCAGATAACCCAGCTCTGCAGTGTCTCTTATGCTGTGCTGATCTCTCATAAGGAGCAAACTGGTATTTATATGCCTGCCTCACCCATAGCATTGCATCCTCCCTGAAGCTCAGGGCTGACACCCAAGGGACACACACATACCTTGCAAGGACCAGGCTCTGGCTGTGTTTTCCGTGTGACTGTGTTTGGGGGTGGTGGTGAAATCAGGCGCCTGCAGGACCAACGTAGGTGATTTGAATCCCATCCCAATTCTGAGGGAATCAGCTGAGAATTGTTGCTGGAGCACATCACCCAAGTGCTGGGTTTGTAGTTTGATGCCAAGAGGCACAGAAGAAGCAGGCAGCCCTGGGAAGCCTCGTGCCTGCTTGCAAACAAACCTGCTCCAAGTAGGAGTGAGATGCACCCTGTCAAAGAGAGCCTTTGCTCAGCTGTAGTAGATGGAATTTATCCAATCTCAGTTTAAATATTTATCCCTGTAAAATTGTCCATACTGAAAGTATTCTAGTCATTATCAGTTATGATGTTAACTAGACAAACACTGATTTGTTGGATCACCAGCTCACGGCCAGCATGAAACATCTTAGGCAACCGCAAACACTTGGAAAATTGGAAGTTACCCATTGCATCCACCCACGAATCCATGACTGATCTGGAAATGCCTTTGAGCTCCCTAAAAGTATAACCACATGTGGGGGCTGGTACTTGGTCACTCAGCCTGTGGGGAACGGAGATCTGCAGCACCTCACAGAGCCTGGCCCGTCTGCAGGAACTCGGCCACTGCCGATGGCAAGGGATGGCTTAGGAAGAAGAACTCCCAAATGAAAGTAAAGGTTCTTTTTTCTTTTTTTAATAAAAATAGTGAGATAAACTGCAAAGAAACAGCATGAGAAAGCAGGTTAGTTCATTTTTACAGTTGTACAGACCATTTACCAAGGCAAGCATGGCCCACCGTTTTGTACTGGTATGAGCTGGAGCTAAAAGCAGGTAAATTAGGGAAAACAATATTGCGTGTTTTTAGCAAAGTCTCATGAAAGTAAAAGTGTGATTTTTTTGTTATTTTAACAGCTTTTGATATTGCTTGTTCTGCTCTTAATTTGTCATCTGTTATGAATGAAAATAAAATCAAAATTCTGATAGCAATTTTGATTCTTAAACCTGCACTTACCCCCTATATAGTACTTAGAGTATTAATGTTCATAAATACAGGATTCTCCTATCTTACTCCCAAAAAGTGGCTGGTCCCTGTTCAGCATTATTTTCAGATCTCTGTCATATATCAAGTAATAAATTTGGCTTTAGGTAGGGACTGAGTATCAATCAAATAAAGAATAAAACCTGTGCCCAATTTATTGTGAGTTATATTGTACCCTTGGGAGCTAAATATTTACAGGAATAAAAAGAATATCCACAGGTTATAATAAAACAAACACGACTCTTGGAAGGAATTTAAAATCTCATGTTTCAGGGCCTGTAGAGTTGTAACTCTCTGGAGACTATCTGCATTCTCCACAGGATGGAGCCAGGAGCATCCCTGCCCCTTCCCAGAGGCACAGGCTGGTGGATGCGATCCCAGGGGGACCTCCTGTGTTCCCTGGGGCTGAGGCGTGGGGGCAGGACAAGTGTCCTGCAGGACTCCTGGAGGTGTTTCATCCCATGCAGCTCTCTAAGACGCATCCTCTCAGTCCCTTAGCATGGATCCATCTCACCATGGGGGAGATATGTGACCCCTCCCATTCCCTGTTCCTTCCCACCATGCTGGTGCTGCTTTGCACGACAACTTCCTGGAGATTTCCAGAAGCAGGAACATGGAGCGGGGGTGGTTGGTGCACCCCTGCCTCAGGCTCCACTTTCTCATCCCCACAAAGTAGGAGCACATCCATCTTTCATACTCTCTTTCTCTCACCTTGGCAGCAGATCCTTGAGTTTACATCCCCACTCTGATAACTGAGTCACCTGGGTCCTGGAGAACAAGGCAGTTTCATGTCATTAAGTAGAACCCATGAAAGCCAAGGGAACTTGAGAATACGCTCAAGCACTTGTCCAAATATGGCTCCTGTGCTGACTCAAGGTCTTGAACAGTCCCTTTGAAATTAGTGGATAAACTCCAGTGGGATGAGCAGAAGCTTGCTGGGGCTTTGAGCTAAATAAAGGCAAACTGGAGAGAGAGTTTGAGGAAAACGTCTGTAGAAATGTATACTTCTGTGTTCCCACTTCAGAGTGCAAATATTAAAAAGGTGACTGTACAGTTTGTTCCTAATCTACAACCATGACATAAATATTACCAAAAGGTACCACCTTGCTGAGGATCATCATCACCTCTACGCTCCCAGATCCTCCACCCTCCCAACAATACAACACGTTTGCCCACAAAAAAACTAAATGCCTAGACACACCGCTCTTGTACCATGCAGTATTTCATAGTCAATAACTAGCAAGCTCTTGGGTATGAAGGCAGGAAAAGCTTGCTTTACATATCAATGCTTAGAAATATATAATTCCACTAAAGGCAGTGGTTAATTGTTGGGTGCCAGTTAGAGTGATTACATCTGCCATCTCTCAAAGAAGCCGGAATGCTGTCACTCACTTTGAAATGGCTTGCTGCATTCATCAGTCTAGATGGCACAGAGAAGTTGTAACCATACAAGCCATATGGAGGATGTAAAGAACAATTAAGTGCTTCCCGAGCAATGGGACTTGATGGGAAAATGTTTCCAGATGCATGTAATCCATACAGCATTTGACTAGCAGAACTGGGTACTTGTAGACATTGCCCGTTTAAGTCTTCAGCCTTAGCATTTTTCAGATTGGTTATGCCGAGGGAAGATAGTTTTGGCACATCCACCATGAAGTGGGGTAAAAGGTGTGGGTTGGTGCCTCCCAGTTTTTCATGGCTTGGGAAGATGAGAGACTGTTGTCTTAAGAAGCTTGTAGGACAAATCTTGTAGTAGAGGGGCACGTTGAGGTTGTGTAGATAAGTCTCAGAGCACGGCATGCCAATGTTGCTTGCTGACAAGTGAAAGGCAGGAGGAGAACATGGTGGAGAGAGCAGGGGGTTGAGAGGAGAGGGCGTCCCACCACTGGAGGTCACCGGCGAAGAGCTGGAGCTCCCACCTGAAAACAAAAGCAGAAGTTGTCCAGGCTGGGCTGGCTGATGATCACAGCCAAGGGACCCTTGGAGGACCCCAGCTCCCACTCCAAGTCTTCCTGCTGGTGGTGTCCCTTCAAGCGCAAATCCACTCCAAAAATCAGCTCCTGGAAAATGGGAAGATCTCTCCATATCTTATTTGTTGTTAGTTGCCTGAGAATGATATTCCTGTATTCTAATGTCTAATCCCATTCATTTGACTGGGACAGTCATGAAGTTGGGCTCCACATGTGCAGTACCTGCTGGGTCTGTGCCTCACTGTATGACCAATAACTTTCTCCTGCTATACACACTCCATCACTATTTTAAGTTCCCTATATTTTGTGAAAATTACATGCAGCTTTTTGCCCTTATGTACAAGAACAAAAAAATGTATTCAGCCTGATGGAGATTTTTTTGTGCCTTCCTGCTCACAGGAATTGACTAATTTTACTTGGCTTCCCATGCAATTTGAAACACACCCTTTAACACTGTCAGTGTCTCCAGAAGGCACATGTCATTTTAACATTCTCCTTTCTGAAATGAATCAATGAACACTTTCATACCTTGGTGGAAAAATGACACAGGCTCACTTCACATGTGTGCACGCTGCTGAGGCCACTGGTGTGTAACATCAGTGCTCAGCACCAGCTCATCCTCCTCCAGAGCATTAGCCAGAGCCAAAACTGTGAGGTGGCGGCTGCTCTGGAGTGGGACTGGTGCTCTGGAGCTGCCGGCCCTGGTGCTAAGCAGATGGTGGTTTCATCTAATGCATTTAAGAGCTGCACTTCTCTGCTGCACATTCATTACCACATTCTTCCAGAGGGTTTTCCCCCCACCCTTTATTTTCATTTCTTACCAAAGTCACTAGGAAAGGAAGGAAGGGAATATTAATCCATTGTTGCTATGTGTTTTTCTCTATTTACATTTCACTCCAAGTGATACACTGTCTGGATGCAATCAGTAGCACAGAACTAACTGTATAACCCAGCTGTATCTGCTCGTATAGCAAACCTTTAAAAAACACAAAGAGCCTGGATGTGGTGCAACTGGATTATGCAAACTCCCAGTAAGCGGAATATCTTACAGTTTGGGTCATACATGGGCAGCACCTAGTTGGGATGGTGCGTGAAGGTTTTAGGGCGCAGTCTCACCCTTCCTTGCTGATTCCAGCTGGTGTATCAGCATTGACTGATGCAGGGCAGGGATCCTGTCCTCTCCTGATATTCACATCCCAATGTCCTCCCAGGACTGAGGGACTTCTGCACATGTAAAATGGTGTAATTGAGCTGGTATTTGTGAGTGCAATGCAGCAAATGAATCCCTATGCTACAACAGAGCAAAGAAGTTTTAGTATTTGCTTTAAGGTATCCTAAGTAATAACATCACACAATTCCCAGTACAAGCTTGGGAGCGGCGATCACAGCAGCTCAAAGAGCAGATGCTTTCTGACATTTCTATTAGGCTTAAAAATCCTAACTTTTTTGCCAATTTCTTTCTTCAGCATATTGTTCATGCTTTCTCTTATTTTACCTTCTGGTTTTAGGGTTTGGGGATTTCTATTTCCAGCTTTTCTTCATAAATACAGTGGAATTGGAGCTTTTGCTATATTTAAATCTGTCCATGAAATTGACCCCAAAGAAAAATACCGATTACGTTAAGACTAGCAGAAAATAAAGATAAAAAAGAAAAAAATCCTAGGAAGCCTTAATATTTTAGCATCTGTACAATGAGCATTGTCGTTGCTGTTTTCTCATTCCCACTGCAGCCCATCCACCAGCTCTTCTCCCCAGCCAGGCTGGTTCAAAAAGCGCTTTTTGCATAAGGTTTTTTCTAGATAAAATTGTTTTGAAAATAATAATTCAGTTCTCTTTACAACCCTTAAACCTCTTCATTTCTCCCGACTCTGATTTTTTGTCTCCACGTTTCTATGCCTGTGCAGCATGAATTTTTGCTGTGATTGTTGCAGTATTTCCCTGCAGAGCCAGGAATGGTTTGGTGTGTTCCAATACTTTGAAGGGTTCCTGACATAAATGAGCGTTAAACTGGGGAATTTAACCCCAAAGAGGAGCACTCCAGCATGCCAGTGCTCTGTTCCTTTTTTGTCCTCGGCACTACAAATAACCAGTTTTCAATTAATACTTCCAGAAAGCGTTTTTCTGGACAAGGGCTGTAAGAAACCGATGGGTTCTCCTCAGGCGGAGAGAGGTAATTTTCCCTGGAAAACTTTTCGCTTTTCCCTGCATTTCTGCGGAGGTGACAGACTGTGGGGCTGCTACACCCTAAAAAGCAGATAGTTTTATTTTCTGGTGCATAAGCCTTCTCTCGCC